AACAACCTCAGTGGGCTGATCTAAGTCAGGCCATGCCTAACAGGTTGAACCCTAGCTTGAACAACCTCAGTGGGCTGATCTAAGTCAGGCCATGCGTAATAGGTTGAACCCTAGCTGCAATAACCTCAGTGGGCTGATCTAAGTCAGGCCATGCGTAATAAGTTGAACCCTAGCTGCAATAACCTCAGTGGGCTGATCTAAGTCAGGCCATGTCTAGCTACTTGTGGCATGAATTAGAATTTAGTGTTTTTGTTGAAGCTCTTTACAAAGGTTATTGGTTTCCAACACTGATGTCTGATCCTGGATTTTCAAACAATTCACTTTTTTCTTTATTTACAGGTAATGGATTATGTAGGAGAAAGAGCCAAGCTCTATGAGCTGAACAAAGTGGTCAAAATGTGGCAACGAAAAGTGGAGATTGCAGAGGTATTGCTATTAATCTTTACATAAATTTTGGCCATTTCAATAGCTATTTTGTACAACCAAAAAGAAGCTAGAAGTCTAATTTGAAATCTAGTCCAATTTGAAATGAATAAAAATCTAACAGAGAGAACAGGAGTTTGCATATTTCTTGTCCAGAATTGGCATGAATTATGTTACTGTGGTGATGTCAAACGTTTGAAATCTCTCTGATTGCTAGTTTACTATCCATTCTTGCATGCCATTCCCATTCTTTTTTCTTTCGTAAATCCACTGCATTTGTGATTTGAGAGTGTTTTGTAGTATTAGTGGGGAGTGACGTGTCATATACTCTTAAAAAGTGCCTCATATTTTTCATATCAAAATTATTAAGAGACTATCATTTTTAAGAGACATGTAGACTGCAAGCTAAGTCCCTCTATTTCCCTTGGTCACTGTCACTGTCCATCTGTCTGTCCATGTTGATTGGTCGAGGAGGATACCAATCTTCCTCGACCAATCAACACGGACAGACAGACGGACAGTGACCAAGGGAAATAGAGGGACTTAGCTTGCAGTCCAAGAGACATTTCAAAAGAATTTTTGGATTCCAACGCTTCTTTCTATTCTCTTTTTCAAGTGGTTAAACATGGGGTCTCTAGGGAGACTCGGCAACAGATCCTTGTATCATGACATAAAAGATTTATTATTATTTTATTATTATCATTTTAACAGATGGCTTTACAAACCAACAAGAAGACCTGGCATAAGCTTCTTGTCTCAGCACAAGATGACATGAATCAATGGCTTGCTCAGTAAGACATTATAACATGGCCACATGTAAATACCAAACAAGTGTAACATACTGTATTTATAATAGAAGTAAAAATGCATTTTCAAAATTAAAAAACAAACTAAACACAAAACTATTGTATTTTATTTTTCATTTTTAATAACTATTCAATCAGCTTAAAAATTAATAACAAACTGTTCCTAAAAGTTTGTTTATGTCAAATTATTCTCTTCTGGTTTTTTGTTACACTTTGTGTATCCTTTGAATCTTACAAGTGAAGAGAGTGTACTAGAATAGGAAAAAAGTTCATAGAACTTTCATGTTTACTCTAAAATAAGTAAATATATGTAAAATAATAATTCAACTGAGTTCAAGTGATAATGGCTAATGGTACTAGTTTGTTAGATAAATGTTGTTTTTTTTTTTCTGTGAGAAAATGGGAAATAATACACTAGTGACTTCCTGTAAATATTTTCCCCAGGGGGAAAGGGAGAGAAGCACTCGTAACCCCGTTTAAAAGTCATATAATTTGTGTTAAGTAAAAAGGAAACTTATGGTTGCCTACTTTAAGAGAAATTCAACGAAAGATTGTCCAATTCCTAGTTAAAGCCCCATTCCTAATTTGTTTCAGTTCCATCCTTTAAAACGTTGCTATTCATATAAATGTGTATAGCGTATTAAAAACATGGCCGATATTTCTGTACTTCTGCACCAGTATATAATGTACTAATGTATTACAATCGTAAGAGAGCAGAATATCTTTGTCATAGTACGGGATCACAAAAATGGACCAAAGGTAGTTCCCTGAGGAATTCCAGTAGAGCATAATTCATGAGCTAGGGGATTAGTGAACTAGCTTGCAAATTGGTTACCATTTGTGTTACCAAGTCGGAAAACAAGAGCTAATGAGCGGAAAATATAAGATTGTACTATAAATGCTTTCGAGTATATTTTTGTTATTTGTCGTGATTGAGTGGTTTTTATACAATTATTATTCTCTTCATTTCAAAAGTTTTCTTTTAAGACTGGACCTTTGGCTGACAGGCTTTAAACGAAAAACAAAAATATTCTGAAACTAGATTACATGCATAGCAATGGATTCTGTCTCAGCTTTACGCACTTTCTAAGATTTTCTACATTACTGTGAAGGCGGGACCTCTTCCACAATGATCCTTGACACTGACTGAAAACCAGTGTTTGCGTTTCCAGCTGGACTAGAGCCTGCGCATGCGCCAACCCACAGTCCAACTCGTACTACTCCTTTGGGGATTGTACAGTAACCCTCAATAGATCGATGAGTTTGGATATGGAAAGTCCTCTCCAGATTGTAACGGAACACAGCTTCAATAGGCGCAGGCGATGAGCATTCGTGGTCGTTGAACTTGAAGTACCAACGTCGGCAGCTGTTGGCGCCGTAAACCTGGAGGTTACCTTGGAAAATGACCCTCAGTGCAGTGTTCTGTTGCTTCTTCATGAATATGCACTCCTGAAATCCGGGATTAGGAAAGTCTTAGGAATTAGAAATAGAGCAAACGAAAACGCTGCAAAAACTAACAAGATCTTGTGACCTTATTGCGGCGAAAGGGTTCTCGTAAAACAGTCGATGTATACGCTGTTATTTTTAACATAGTACTATTACAGTAAGTATGAGAACCTGGGGGGAAAAACCTTGAATCAAGGGAGAAAACTCTTCTGGCATGTTATGCTAAGTCCAGGAATCGGACCCGAGACCCCAAGTAGACTACCCCTAAGCCACTTATAATTTCTGGATTTCCTGAAAAGCTTCTACTTTAGAATCAGATTTTTCAATAATCTTTGGTTTTGGTCCAGACAAGAATTTATAAAGATACGAAAAAGGCTTTTGGAATCAATAAATTCTTCAGAGGGATGAAGATTTCGGATCATTTCAGCGCGTGATACGAATCATCGAGAATCAAATCTGGTAACATGTCGTTGTGCACTAAACTCCTCTCGTTTTTAAAAACTCACTATGGTTGTCATAGAAACATACCTGGATCTTTCCAGTGTCGGTGTCGTCATTTCTATTCCAAACACACTGCCTCCAGTTACGTATCTCAGTCGTGTCTATACCTGGCAAACCAATTTCACCTTTTAGGCCAGGAGTTCCTGGAAATCCCGGTTTTCCTCTAGGACCAGTTTTACCAGGAAATCCTGGTTTTCCTTCCTCTCCTGGTTTTCCAGGAAGGCCTGTTTGTCCTTTGGGTCCTACGGGACCAAAAGGTCCTCTTCTGCCTTGGTTGCCTTTATCTCCTTTAGGCCCATCTCTACCAATGCTCCCCGGTTGACCAGGGGTCCCCGGCATTCCATGCGTTCCTGGAATACCAGGCATTCCACACGCGCATTTGTCACAGGAATTCTGTTGAAAAGAGGTTGCCTTCGTTAACTTCTATTACTGAAAACACGGATTTTGGAAATACGCCATTATACAGTTTCGTTCAGTGACCACGAATAATAGTTCCAAGCCCAGGGTGGATTTGCCGCGCATGATAAACTGTAGTTTTGCTATGCGTGGAAACTCTAATCCATTCGTGGTCAACGGAACAGTAAAATGTAGCATTGGTTTATCTAGTTGTAAGAGGTGGTAAAAAGGCATTACGATATCTTACAGTTTTCTTATCAATGGCAATTGATTCCAAACATGAAATCTCACAACGTGAAAATTTATTGGCTTTTTTGGCTTACGAGTTAATTTGCAATGGCTAAACCTTTTGGAATCGGATATATTGGAGCCGTTTCCAAACTGGAGAAGATCTTAGTTTTGTATTTCATTTGCATGTCAGTACTTAACTTGACTTGTATGCTCTTATTCTCAAATAGTCAAATCACGCAAACGAAGAGTAATTAAAGGACAGCACCAGAAGGACACGACATTTAGGGAAGGTTTCAGTTGCGTCCAAGATATCCTATTGTGAAATTTTGGTCCAAAAAAGTATCAGTATTTGTCGTATATGGAATCAATGATTAAAGATTCTTAAATCATATCGTATTGACATTTTTGACTTGACGGAAATTGCAGCGTAAAGATATAATGGATTTTAAAATCTTCGAAAAAGCAAAAATTTACCTTTGAAAATCGTGGTTGGGCAGTTGTAGTGCCTTTCGCACCAAGATTGCTCCCTTCGTCGCAGAATACGACCACACCACACAAAGCTACTAAAATCGCCACCAATATTATCTTCATTTTTAAACCGATGAAAAATTTCTGCTATAAGAGACTTTGGAGGTCGTCAGTGCAGCACAGCAGTGAGATCTTTTGCCTGTGTTTGAACTCAGTGCTTTTTTGCCAAGACACGTTACTGGGTGGGTTAATGTAAGAAATTCCTATTCCCTTGAGATTGAAGTGAAGTGCTAGACCGCTCCAATGGGTTTATTGGTTTGGAGACAAGAAAGAGCATGTAGTATGAAGTATGCCTATCACATTGAGATGTCACTGATTTAGTTATCTCTCTCTCGGAATATCAATCTATTTTCAATTAGCACTGAACAGGCGAACGGCCTTTAGGTGTCATTTGCCGAATTGGTAATTTTAGAACCGATCACTTTAGACGTACCTCAGAACTGATAAACTTGAGATTTCCAAATGGGTCAATGGAATCATTGAATAAAAGCACAAGAGTATGAAAATAAAGCTAGTACGTAATAGGTATACAAAGAGTTGTCTAGTGAGCCTCCACGACATCTAATCACCAACAACTCGGAACTCACTGATTCCGTAGTTGTTTCGATGTTTTTGTCGTTCTTGAGAATTTCGTGCACGAGCTAAAAGTTCGAAAGGGCGGAATTCGGGTACAAATGTCCAGGAGTGTCAGATCGCATACCACAGCTCTTCTATCTACGATTCTAACGAAGACCACCATGGGAGAAAAAAAGTCATGTTAAAGAAATGAAATGTCGTGTGACGAGTCTCGAGGCTTGTAAAACTGCCACTGAATGGGCATGGAAAAATGCCATGCCGAAACAAGAGAAACCGGTCTGGAGTATCACGCTGTTGTTGTTACCTCTAGTTTGGAGCTTATCTTACCTATTTAAAGGAATAGTTAGTTTATTTTGACTGTTCCTTTTTGATAAGGAAAGTAAGATCAACTCTGATAAACTCGGGTTCGCGAACATACGCGACTGCTTACCATTTCGCGCTTAAATAAGGCCATTTCCGGTGAGATAATAATGTGACGTCAGAACAATTGAGCCACGATTGTGTTGCATGTTTGTTTTTTATTTTTTTATTAAGATAAAAGAATTGTAACCCATTTAATTCCTAAGACATACACAATATTTTTGGGCAAGGTCGCAGAAGATCCAACCCAATTGGATGCAATAGAACGAGAATCAATATGAACAAAACAATAGTAAGAGTCGACATTAAAAACTATTGTTAAATGTTTTAACCATTCTCGACAGCTCTTCTTAGCAGTTGCGACATTTTCCCAATATTTGTGCGCTAAATAATATAGGACTGTCTTTGTCCAGCAAGTCAAAATATAGAACGGGCTGTTTTAGTCGAGCAAGTCAAGGTAGAATGAACTTATGAGGAGGAAGAGGAAGAGGAGGAGGAGGGCCGAGAGGAAGAGGAGAAAAGGGAAAGAAAGAAGGAGCTAAAGAAGAAAAAGGGATTTCATGATGTCGCCTGACCAATAAATGCTAATAACCTCTTATAAGTCAATGCGTTTTAGGGGAGTGTTGGGGGATTGTCAAGATTACATTTACTACTAAAACTGGTAAAACAACTTAAAAACCAGAAAAGAAATAACCCTAAGTATTATATTTATTGAAAAAAGCATCCCGTAGTTTCATCCCGTGGAACAGATTTTTGGGCTGGAAAGGTAAATACGCACTTGAAAATGTGTTAATCCTGGGGGATGGAGTAAGTAATTGTTACTCGCCGAACCTCCTTACTACTAGGTTAGGCGTAAGGCGGCCTAGAAGTGACAATGCCTGTTTTCAGCACGATCAAACTTGCAAACCGTGCTGTGCTGTGCTGTGATGTTGGCATGCCGTGATACTAGTAGTATGGTATCCGAGCCGCCGCTATTGAATGCGTAGTAATGCTGCGCGCTGTGACAAATTTCATCAGTTCCGTACTTACTGCGCATGTCATCTGTTGACCCTCTGTATGTCTACACTGCAAAAACATTACTACTTTGCTCGAATTAAATTCTGGCGTGAGATGAGAGCGTTTCACATTCAATTAACCTACTCTAATTATTTTAAGCTCAGCTTGACCTGAAACTTGAAAACCTTTGAATCAGTACTTGAATTGCTCTGCGAAAAGACTTGTCTGACATTTCGATGCGCTCTAATCTTCTCAAGATACTGAACTGCCAATGAATTTATTTACAACACAATCTGTCAATTTCAAGAAATTTTTGGCCACAGGGTTTGGGACAAGTTTGATCGAGGCATTTCAATCTTAAATCCATGATTATAAATTTGCAAGTTTGACGGAAAATGCCAAAAATGGCGGAAATAACCTTGGTTCTCGGCGGATAGAACAGCTTTCTAGAAAAGATAGGAGATTCCGTTATTATGGAATTACAATCGTAGTTTACAATAGTCACTCCGTATTGCGGGTTGTGATAAATTGTCCCTTAGTTTAGACAATTCGTCAGCTAGAAAATTTCAACGAGCGCAATTCTTCTCTTGATTCTTGCTGTAACTCGTCAAATTTAATACATTTTCCACGTAAGACTAGACTAGCAAATCTACTGTTATCACCTTGTTCGATCTAGTTTCACTGGATGGATTTATTTCTAGCTATGTCATGCTATATGTCATATGATACCATAGCATTGACTGAAACCCTATATCCATCTATCAGACTGTATGATACACATTTGTAGCCCTAATTGATATACTCAAAATAAAGCCATATTTCACAACCACCAAGGAACAGAAATCATTACAAGCTACAAGACCGGAAAGTCATTAATTTGTATGTCAAGTAATATCTCTTCTACGCGGTTTCAAGGCCAAACTGGACCCCACTTAAGACACAATTAGTTTTTGTGTTTTAATCCGTATCTGCACTTGCTGATAACCTCATGTTTAGTAATAGCATCCAAAGGCGGCACTGCTTTGATAGCCTGTATTACAGTCGTTTTACTCTTCCCCAATCCTCCTCGTCCACAATCAGAAACGTCTGTGATGCTGGCAACTGCTTTTTAGAGATCACTCATTTCATGACGTGAGAAGATTGTGGTACTGTTTGAGCCCAAGGACGGCGTAGGGAGGGGCTGTAGCCTTCGCCCCACTTTTTTTGCTAAGTATCCACCAAATCACCCCTCCCCTACAACACACACTAACACACATGTATACCCACACTTTCAGTCTTAAGTGCCTGGTCTGCTACACATTTCCCTCCCGCTAGCKGCCACTGGCAATGGTTTCGCTCCAAGGTCCTTGGAACCGAACCTGACGCACAACACTTGAACTTTCAGAACWGGTAGCCCAAGCTCACTGGTTCGACTTTGTGCACCTACTTCGAAGTAACCAATACTGGTTTTTTCCTTTTGATTCTAAGGGGTGCACCCC